CATAGGAGGCTAAGTGTGACCTCATGTCCAGGATAAGAGAATGGTCGGGTGGAAGAGGGGATGCAAAGTTGGCTAGAGGTTGGTTCAAACCCTTGGACACGAGAGGAGTAAATGTCTCCAATGTTGTCCTCACCCTTGATGACATGTGGAATTCAGGTCTTCAGTTAAAACCAAGATGGGGCAAATCTATGATGGCACCGAGGACATCGCTGGTGACCTCATCAGAGGCTTTAGAGGAAATTATTTATAAGTGAATCTTTGGGTGGGAATGAGAACGACCTTTCCTCCTGCATCTCTAAAGTAAGTCTCCCTTCTCCACCACCATCCCCGACAGCAGTTTCCTTCTAGAGGCAACCTCTCTTCTCAGTTTGCTGTGCATTTTTCCAGCCATAGTTGGTTGGAAACAATCCCCATTGCTCTTGCTTCCATGTGGAGGGAGCTGCACCAGGAAACACCCCTGGCCACAAGCCCCACCCCTCACCCTCTCCTTTGCTTCTGATTGGAGGAAGCACCCATGGTCTACTCTTTGGATTGGTGGAGCTCCTCCATTATGGGGCACAGTGCAAACACTTCGCCCTTCCCTAATCTGGCTGGAGATTGAAACCCGCCCTCCAACCTAGCTTTTCTCACCTAGTCAGATCCCTCAGATCAGTCTCTTGCAGTGCAGATGGATCCACCCACTCTTTGAATGGCTGCCTGGTGTCCTGCTGTGTGGCCATGCCACACTTCACCTAAGCAGCTCCCTACTGACTTAGGTAGCTTCCAGACTTTGCTAGTCCACACCACATCGCCAGTGCGCATCCTTGCACTCATTTCGTTGCACATTTGCTTTATATTGAAGGTTTCCTAGAAGTGGAGATGCTGAATCAAAAATATGTGCATTTATTTTATTTGTAATGTAAAGTTTTAAGTTCAATTTACTGCAAAGAATACCAGGCACCGTTGGTGCTGTGTCAGAGGGTCCTGTGAGGGTATCAAATATGGGGCCAGCTCTTGTACATGACATTAGCTGAGTGGAGAAGCCTTGACATCATGCCTCAGACTCACAAACATCCTCCGTTCTCCTGAAGTATAACTCTGGCCCTGCCATCCCCAGGGCTTTCCCCAGTAGTGCTGTCTCCCGGCCACTGCATTTGCACCCTGCCCTCCCTGGAGATACTAAAGAACAACTCCCTCGACTGCACGTTGTTTAAAGGCTGGACCACCGAAACCAGGGTCCTATCAGAACCAGTCATTGCCACTCACAGAAATTTATTTTCCCTTCAGAAAACACAACATTGAATTCTGAAACACCTCCCTCCCCACCCGGTCCTTGCGGGTGTCAGCGCTCTGCAGCTTTGGCCACACCGGCCTCGTCTCTGTTCCCCGGAACACAGCTCCCTGGAACAGTCTCTCCATTCCACCCTGGCTGGCTCTCACCTGGTCTAGGTCTCGATTCAGGCAACCCCTCCTCAGAGAAGCGTCCCTGGCCACTCAACATAAGTAGCCAGTTCCCCTTCAGCATAAGCTGTCCAGCTCCCTGGCTCAATTTTCTTTGAAGGACTTGAGTGGTCTGAAGGCATCTTACTCATTCCCTTGTTTATTTATCGACCCTGCCATGCCCAGTGCATGGTAAGCTATGGCCGTTATTTTATAATTCTAGAAAATACCTCGGAAAACTCAAAGTTCCAGTTGTCCAGAAGAGGAAACTGAGGCCAGAGAGGGCCAAGCCTTGCTCAGATGCTGCCACAGCAAAGCCAGAACAAGACCAGGCCCAGAACAGTCTCCTGGCCCCCAAGCCACCTAGCCCTTTCAACCTCACTGGGAGACCCCTCTGAATCTCCAGTAATCAATGACTGTTTCCTGCAAGCCACTGTTGCTTTCCAGTACGCCTTTCATCAAGCAATACAAGCAATGTTGTTGGGGTTTTTTTGCAGTTTTTTCAGAAGTGGATCAGAACATTCTAAAAGGCCTCTGGGTTTTGAGCATTAACCTCTTGGAGGTGGGAGACTACAGTAGATAAGCTTTTCATGTCCCTGTCCAAAAATTGAAGTCCTGCGATTTGCAGAACTTCACTTTCTTTTTAAGATTCTTTCTTCCTTGCATGAAAGAAAGAGAGAGAGACCCTGATCATGGGCTTGGCACATCTACAATGCTCACCCCTCCAGCAAGCCAAGATACAGGTGCGCCCAGATGCCACGCACGTGCAGGCTGACCTGGAATCTGAACCCAGCCGTTGTGCAGTGATACCTGAGCACCTGTGCCACCCTGGCTGGGCCCAGAATGCCACTTTAAGCAGGAGGCTTTGAACATGCCAGGAGAATACTTGTATGTGTGCCCATGATCCTGGTGGGCCGGGGAGCTGAGGAAGGCGATGCAGTGCGACCCCCAGGCGGTGCTTTTCTTTCTCTCTCTCTTGTGTACACACATGTGCTGTAGCGTAAATAAAAATGTGTTTTGATCTACACAATTTTTTAAAGAAAAGATAACAGGGGACCAGCAGTTAGCATAATAGCTATGTCACTGGACTCCCATGTATTGGCCACAGTTCGCATCCTGGACCCGGTGGCTTGAGACACGCCTGGCACGTGTGCGTGCGTGCCCAAGATCCTGAGAGGAGAACGGAGGAGAAGGGATTGCGGCGTGGCCATCCCCCCTGGGGGGTGATTTCTCACTTTCTGTCTCTCTCTCTCTGTCTGTCTGGCAAGCGCATGCGCCCTATAGCGAAAACCTCTCAAAAAAAAAAAAAAAAAAGGAAAGATAACAGAATCAAAAGGCACATGATTAAAAAACAAAACAAAAAAAACACTACAGCTTTATGTCCAACTCCAGTTCTGTTCCACACAAGTAATGACTTTTAACCCTTTCAGCTGTCTTTTCCCCTATCTCTCCAGATTCCCAAACAATATCCATGTCCTCCTACTTCCCGATTAACTTATTAACTTCCTGCTCAGGGAAGACTGTCTCTTTACCACTGTTTGTCCCCACATGCCTCCTCCATGGTCCAATATGGTCTATACTTACGTATGTCGCTTACATCACCACTAATGAATATTCTTCCAAAAGTTCAAAGAAAGTATTGCAAAAAGTTCATAGAAAATAAGTATTAGGAAAAAACAATAGACAAAGTCCAATACATTTCTGTACAAAAACAAACTTGTACTTTAATTTCATTTTTCCACGAGTGTTTTCAAATACACGGCAGAGCCAAATAGTGTACTATGGGTGCAACTTTTTTCTTGAAAAACTTATTTTTCCACCAGCATTTCTTTTATGATCATTATTATGCACTCAAACACTATACATCATTATTTTATAAAGAGGATTTACTCAACATGACATACACCTCAGACCAGTCCAGTTGAGAATACTTTCCCCAGCCTTTCTGGTCGTCTTTCTCTTCCCTACTCTTCTGTTCCTTCTTTTTTTTCCCTCTTTCTTTTTTCTCTTCCCCATGGTTCCATCTATTTCTCACATTTCTTTTTAAATTTCTTCCTAGCTTCTCCTCAGATGTTCTCGCATTCCAAATTGGCCTACCCTAGTGGCAACGCAAATGCTGCTCTTTGGTCAGGAGCCTGGGCTGCACACACCCTCTGCACATTCTCCAGCCAGTCCGCTCCCAACTCTGCCATCCCCTGCTCTCCACCATGTGCAGCCTCAGCAGCTGCTGCTGTCACAGGACAAGGACAAGCAGTGCCACACAAAGCATTCTTCAGGGGAGATCAGCAGACTTGCTCCTAACTGTGGGCAGGGCCGGGGGAGCTGACATAACCCTGAGACATTAGAAGGTAAAGCAGATCCCTGGGAGCGACGGTCATTCCATGTGAAAATGAGATGCATCACGATTTTTTAAAATATTTTTAAAGAATGATTTTATTTAAATTTATTTATTTATCTACTTATTTTTTTAGTTTGATGAGAGGGATGGAGTGAGAGAGAGAAGGAAAGTGAGAAAGCAAGCTGCCAGGTCCGGGACTTGAACCGCGATAGGCCATGTGGGAATCCAGCATCCCTAACCACCACGCCACCTGCCGGCCCCGAGATGCATCACGATTAAAGGTGGAGCTGCAGCTGACACGGTGCATCTTACACTAGGTCTTCATCTCGGCCTTACCAAGCTGGCAGAGCCAAGTCTCTCTATCCCCCTTTTACGGATGAGAAACTGAGGCTCCCAGAAGCTTCAAGGGATCTTTCAAAGTTTGCAGTGCTGGGACTCAAACCCCTGGTTTTCCAGCTCCAAGTCCAGGGCATCTTTCTACTATCCTCGTTCCTGCTCACATGAGTACGGCCTAATGAAGCCCCCCAACCCATCCACCCCGGTGGCCTAATTAAAACCAGGAGCACAGCACAACGCAGTGCCAAATCATCTTTGAGTCCTCAACCTTTGGCTAGACTTTTCTCAAGTTTGGCACTAGGCAGGAGGGATCGGGGACAGCAGCATCTTCCTGCACTCAGTTAAAGTTGAGATGGCTGGGCGAATTAAGAGAAGTCCAGCAGGTGTTTTAGTGGTTAAGGCGCTGGACTCCTACATGGCTGACAACAGTTCGAGTCCCAGATCCGGTGGCTTGAAACTCACACTGAGTGCACATGTGTGTATGCTCAAAATCCAAGGAGAATGGAGAAGGGACTGCAGCATGCCCATCACCCCTGGGGGGAGGATTTCTCACTTTCCCTCTCACTGTCTCTCTCTGTCTCTGCAGAGAACACATGCACACCATGGCAAGGACCTTAAAAAAAATAATTAAACTGAAAAATTTTTAAAAAAGAGAGAAGGCCTAATTAAGAGCTAGGCATTAGTCTTCATTTGTACTAAAAATAGGGTTTCCTGCATTTTTCTTCCTGTTAGCGCTGGTCAAGTCAAAGCATCAGTTTGCTTTACTAATCTTCTTTGAGATTGGTTTGGGTTATACATAGAGCTTCTCCTTGGTCACTGAAAGGTTTATTAGGACATGGTAGAATGGACGCCATTCTGTTTTCTAAGCTTGTCACAATGTGCCCCATTACCATCCGGAACCCTGGGATCTCACAGACCACTGTGAGCTGCCCAGGCTCCCAGCCTGGGTTTAGGTACAGAGCAGGGACCAGAGTTAATTATCTTCAGCTGGAACGGTAAATACTCCCCATTCTTTGACTACACATTAAAGGTAGTAACATAAAATAATACAGAACACAGACTACTAAAACTTAATATTAAACGAAACCTATAACAGGGTTAGGGGAAATAGCAAATGGGTCTGCTCGGGCAGCGCCAAGCACCCTGTGGGGTCAGCACGGGAGACAGCAGGGGGAGGAGGAGCAGGCCGGAGGGGGCTATGGAATTCTGCACACGGAATGGGATGGTTGTGGCTCAGTGAACGTCACGTTCTAAAGGTTGACAGGATGAGGGACGGCCCCCTGGAAATGCCCATCCAGAACCCAGATAGCAAACAGGTGCGCTAAGATCTGACATCTCGCTGCCTCCTAGTAGAAGTGCTGTCCTTTACGCCTTAGTCCAATGCCTGCCTGAAGCATGTGTGTGTGTGTGTGTGTGTGTGTGTGTGTGTGTTCACACCCGTGCGTGCACATCTAGCCCTGGGTGTGGAGAAACTCATAAAAATCCTGCTGGTGACTAACTGGCCCGCCTTCCCCCAAAAGCGGCATTTGGTCTGCCATTGACAGTGGGGCATTGCTACCCGGGTCTTCTGCATAAAGAAAAGGCCTCTGGAGTGCCTTTCCTGCACAAAATCACGAACCTGCACCCCGGGAGCCCCAGCCCTCGGGCTATGGCCTGAGGAAGCCACCGTGGTACATGCAAGCAACCGAGAGCGAGCCCAGCGGCCGCCTAGGAAGGGCTGATGTGCCATTGAGAAGACCGCTTGGCCACCCAGCCCTCTTCCCAGCCTCGGACGTTCTTCCTGGTTTAAACCACAGTCGGTTCTCAGCCTGAGTGGGGCCCCTTTCCCGGAAGCTGGCCATCAGGGATAAATGGGCTTCCGCTACCCAGGGCATCTCCGCAGCCCGGCAGTCCAGGCTGGCAGGTGTCCAGATCCCGGGTAGGAGGCTGAGCCCACCTCTGCCTTCCTGAGAACAGAGGCCAAAGCGCTGTGCTCTCAGGGAGCAGTGGGCAATGAGAGGGGCCTGAACTGAACCGCAGTCCCCTCCTGCGGGTGGCCTCGCAGGGTTTGGTGTCAGCAACAAAGGACGATGCCAAGGTGTGGGGCCTTCAGTGCAGACCTGCGCTGTCTGGCGCCCGGAGTCTGGGCAGCCCCCCAGCTGGGAAGTGTCCCCGTCTCCGCACTCGCTCCAAGCCCCAGGGAGGTGCTGACACTAACCCCTGGGAGGCCACCCTTCAGGAGGGGACTGTGGTTCAGTTCAGGCCCGTCCCACTGCCCACTGCACCCAGAGAGCACAGTGCTTTGGCCTCTGTTCTCAGGAAGGCAGAGGTCGGCTCAGACTCCTGCCCTGGGATCTGGACACCAGCCAGCCTGGACTGTCCGGGCAGCAGAGATGCCCTGGGGATAGCGGAAGCCCATTTACCCCTGGTGGCCGGCTTCCCGCTCAGCGTGGCTGGGGCCGCGGCTCGAAGCCCACATGTGGCTCTGTCCGGAAATGGCAACAGGCGGGACACGGGAATTTGGCAAGGCTCCAGGGCAGAAGCCACTGAGGACAATTCTGTCTGCGCAGCCCTAGCGCTTCCCACTTTCGGAATAAAAATAACCACGACATCAACAATAATGCCGGCCAAGTTTAATGCCTGACCTGTGCCAGGCACTGCTGTAAGCTCTTCTCATATATTCACTAATTAGTACTCACCAAAACACTACAATGGACGTGCTGTAATTAGCCTCATTTTACAGATTTTTTCAAAAGAAAAAAAGAAAAAAAAAGACCTAGAAGTTAGGAAACTTCCCTGAGGTCATGCTGCTAACAAAGGCAAGAGCTAGGACTTGAACCCAGGCAGTCTCTGACACCTGAGAAAGTGCTATGTTGTCCAGCCTAAATCTGACATTCCCTTCCCTTCTGGGGTTCTGTTACTTTAAGGCCTGACCATCCAAAGTCCCAGGGCCACAAGCAGGTTTAGATGCTGGCTGTCACCAACGTAGCCTCGGACGGATACAGGAAGCACGCTAGGGACAAGGGAAGCAGAAGAAACCCAGGGATCCTGTGCCCTCCAGGCAGAAGGCTTTCCTTCCCCTGCACATGGCACAGACACCATCCATGAGGGGACAGCTCTAGCAGGGCTATGCTCCACTCCGCAGGTGAGAGCCCACGGTAAGGGATTTGGTCCCATCGTCCTGTTTGCCATGCAGAACCAGGGCTCAGACCACAGCCTTCTGCTTATGAGCCTGCAGAGACCTGCTGCTCGCCCTTTAAAAGCAGAGCAATCAGTCACCCAGCAGCAGGTCTGAGCACCACCACGGACCGGGCCCTGACAATACATGGATGAGCGAGGCGAACCCCAGGTGCCCATGAAGGACAGGGCATATATGACAGACATGATGGGACCACATGTGTGTGTGTGACACCCATGTGTGACCACCCTGTGCAGGTTGGGGAAGCATCAGAGGGCTTCACTGGGGAAATAATACCTGAAGCGGGGATGAAGCATGGGCAGAAGGCACTGCAGGCCGAGGGTGCAGGATCACTGAGGTGCAGAGGGCCACATATGCGAGGGGTGTGTGTGCTGGGCAGGGCTCCGAGATGAGCTGGAACTCTGCTGGGCAAGAAGCTTAACGGGTCTTGGAGGCCACGCACAGGAGAGTGACAGTCCCTGGAGGTGGCACGGCCAGGAGGGTTCTCAAGCAAGAAATCACAGATCTGCTTCTGGAAGAAAAGCACCCAGGCAGGAGGATGGGCCAGCAGGAGGTGAATGGGCAAGGCCGTCAGTTGCCCTGGTGAAAAGCAACAGGTCTCGACCGATGGCAGAGGGAGAGAGCTACGAGCCCTTCAAGAGTCCTGGGACTTGGCCATGGGCCAAGTGACACACAAAGGATTCTGCAGGCCCCTGCTTGTGCCAAAGAGGACACAGTTCACTTGGTCCTAGAAACGTCCGGTGAGCCACAGTGGCGACGTGTCTGAGAGGCGGCACTACAGGCAGAACTGTCACTCAGGGAAAAGCAGACACTAGAATCAGGAAGTTGGCGGTCAAACCATGGGACCCAGAAGCCGAGAGGAGTGGAGAGACACAGGACAGAAAGCGAGCCAATGGGCAGCCTTGGTAAGGACGATTTCGGCAAAGGAAACTAAAGCCAGTCTTCTTTTGTCCCCGGCGCCTCTCACAGCTTGATGTTAGACTGCTGTTGACTTGGGTACTGTACGAGGGGACCTTCATGAATAAATGAAGTTAATATATGAGTTTATTTTAGGGCAGATCTTTTTTTTTCTTTTTCTTTTTTTTCGCTATAGGGTGCGTGAGCTCGCCAGACAGACAGAGAGAGACACAGAGACAGAAAGCGAGAAATCACCACCCAGGGGGGATGGTCACGCCGCAGTCCCTTCTCCTCCATTCTCCTCTTGGGATCTTGGGCACGCACGCACACGCGCCCGGCGTGAGTTTTAAGCCACCGGGTCCGGGACGCAAACCGTGGTCGACTACATGGGAGTCCAGTGACATAGCCATTACGTTAACTGCTGGTTCCCAGGGCAGATCTTTTTGAAATCCATGCCTAGTTTTTTAATTTATTTCTTCCTTGAGCAAGAGAGACAGAAAGTGACAGAGACAGCACCTCTAACAAGGTCTTGTGCTGTGGTCCACCCCTAGCTCCAGCCAGCCCTGGTGTACTCAGGAGGTCTCTGGACAAGAACCCAGAACTTTCCCATGTGGGTCAGCTTTGCAGACCATTGGATTTTACCATTGTGCCACTGTCTGGCACTCCCCATGCATACACAGTTTCTTCATAATAAGCATTTTTCATGCCATTTGTAAGTACCCCTCGTATCTCTCCCAGCTATGGTGTTGGGGAGCTGGAGTGTTTTTGCAGTATGGTATTCTCAATAGAACACCACCCAGCTTGTACACAGAGCTCAATACATGCATGCTGACTGAATAACTGATGGAGGCAGGTTTTGTTTTTTGTTTTTGTTTTTGTTTTTGTTTTTTAGAGGTTTTTGCTATAGGGTGTGTGCACTTGCCAAAAAGACAGAAAGAGACAGACAAACAGCGAGAAATCACCCCCTAGGGGGGATGACCATGCCGCAATCCCTTCTCCTCCATTCTCCTCTCAGGATCTTGGGCACACACACACACACACGCCCAGTGTGAGTTTATGCCTGGGTCTGGGACTCAAACCACGGTTGACTACATGGGAGTCCAGAGACGAAGCCATTACGCCAATTGCTAGTCCTGCAGGTTTCAAGGAGCTAAAGAACTCAAGAGAAGAAAAGACACAGAGCTAGACTTTTCTCTCAAGTATGGCAATAAAAAGGAAGAAGAGGGGCCAGCAGGTGGCATGGTGGTCAAGGTGCGGCTGTTCCACATGGCCAAGCCCGGTTTGAGTCCCAGACCTGGCGGCTTAAAAATCATGCCAGGCACACATGAATGCATGCCCCAAATCCCAGGAGGAGAATGGAGAGGGGGTTGTGACAGGACCATCCCCCCCAGGTGATTTCTTACTTTCCCTCTCCTTGTCGCTCTCCAGTTAGTGCACAGGCTGTGTGGTAAAAACTTAAATTTAAAAAAAAAAAAAATTTAAAAAATGGAAGAAATATTTATCAAGGTCCTGGAGTCCCTCCCCATAGAGACAACTCCATGCTCAAAAGGCTTCACTGGTAAGTCCTGCCAAACATTTAAGGAAGAATAATACCACTCCTAAACGAACTATTCCAAGAAATCCAAAAGGGGGTTGCACCCTCCTCCTAACTCAGTCTATAAGGCCAGCATTACCCTAATCCTCAAAGCAGACAAAGGCATTACAAGAAAAGAAAAAGACAGACTAATAGCCTCCATATGCACGAGTGAGAGGAATTTTAACACAATTTCCCCGCACAACTCTGGCTGGGCTTGTGATTTGCTTCATTGATAAAACGCGGCAAAAGTAACAGTGCGCCGATTCTGAGTCAAGGCCCGAAGAGTTCTATGCACTCTTCTCTGAAAGAGAAGCACTGAACAAGCCAGGCTGACCTACTGCAGGGCAGGTTATATGGAGCACACACTATCTGTCCCAGCAGAGCCACCCTAGACCAGCCC